ATACAATGTGAGAAGTATAAAATGACGTGAACTCACCTGATCACCAACCAGATCTCAACCTACCTGAACACCCAGACGAGATCATCAAAACACAACAACATGGGTCTAGCATCTTGTGGTGGCTCTGCACATTACTAAGAAACCTCAAATTGTTTTAGACATGTTGCTGTATTGCTCTTCAAACATTGTTGTCTTACCATGTCGCAATATTTCAGAAGAATCACCACATATTGGCATGAGGAGCCATCCTGTACAACCAAACGTCATAAACTACCAAAGCTGAAGATAAGAACCAACGATTTCACCTCGCTGTAGATGGTTCTGATAATTTCTGTGTTTTTCTTTGTCTGCTGCCCAACTGAACTGGTCTCTTGTGGTAAACTAATCCAGTGAGACTGATACACTGAGTTTACTGTGGTTTCAATTCTCATCCTTTGGCAAAAAAAAAAGGAAGAAAGGCCCGACCTCAAGGGAGTCTGGTGCATTTTTTTATTTCTTCAATGACTAGAAATTTTGCTGTGTGAAATCTGCAGGGCACTTGATCTTCTGGTACCAGCCAAACTCAATCTCTCATCTTTGTCACCAGTTCAAATTACAAGAACATCATGAAAAAGACACACAGATGTAACAAAAAAGTCTCTTTTGTTTTCCAATAACAAAAAGTTAAAAAAAGAAAAAAAACAAAAACAAAACAACAACCTTGAAACAGCGATCATTGTCATCAAATAACAATAAATAAGGAGCACTCTTCCCTGTACAGACATATATTCTAATCTAAACTCTTTTTGTAATAAAAATAGAACTTCAGTGCATTTCCTTTGACACATTTCTGCTGCTCCTTCAGAATCTCCACGACGCAACGCTCGGTTACCCTGGTGTTAAAGCAATGGCCTTTTAGAACAGAAACAACCGAAACACCAAATATTAACCCTCCTGAAGAACACAGACAAAAAAAGCAGATATAAAATTTCACAGCCTTCTCTTTGTCTATCTGTACTGTACATCTCAAAAACACAAACCTGGACAGAAAAGGCACAAGTAACTACAATTTGAGTAATACTGGACAAACGAAAATGGAATTATTTCTGATGAAAGATTTTGGTCATTTACAAATTTATTTATATTCCTTTTACATGTCTTTAAACGAACATTACGATTACCAGTATCAGAATAGATACAGGAGGGATATATTCATTTATGTGTATATATATATATATATATATAATTTATATATATAGATTTACAGAAACATTATTTCACAAAGAAAAAAAGTGCATTTTTTTTTTTTTTATAACAAACCTGAATATTGCCAAAGAACAGACATTTAAGTTAACAAGAGTATTGAAAACTGTATAAAAACAAAGCAATAAAAAAAAACAAAACTAGTGTAGCAACCAATAAAGCAAAATGGGATGCAAGGTGCATCAAGGTGTGGACACTGTTAAGTGCTCTGGTCTGTTCTGGCTGAGTCTCCTTGAGCTCCTCTCTCCACTGGATCACTACCAGACTGTAGCTCCTCCCTCCGTGGCTGTTGTCCAATGACACGCGAGGCTACTGGCGCTGCTCGACTGAGGGCTGCTCTGGAACGACTGTCTCTGGCGCAGTGTTCGGTGGTCTCAGTGGCAGACCTGCGGCCGTGGACGGAGCTGTGCGAGCTGCCATATTGCTTTGAGTCCGTGGTCTCCGACTCTGGTTTGGAAAATGTTAGTGCTGTGCTAACGCTGCGCCGCCCCGACTGGCTGGTTCCTGCTGCCTGGTGCTCTGACCAGCGGTCTCCAGGAGTCCTGAGCCCTTGAGTCCTGGGGGTCCCGCCCCAGTATGATTCAAACCTGGCCAGCGACGGCCCCTCCAGAGGGGGAGACGTTGGGGATGAGGGGGTGGTCGGGTGGGACCTTGGTCTGGCCTGCACCATCTGGATCCCTCCGATGGGGATCATCAGATAGGGGACCCTGGCTTGTTGGGAGTGCATGGGAAGATGGCTGAAGATGTTGTCGCCTGTTTGTTGGCCAGGATACGCCTCGCAAGTTGAAAGACGGAAAGTAGGAGGAAACAAGCTGGTTTCTGAGCCTTCTCCTGCTGTTCCACTTTTCTCCTGTAAGGGGAGCAAAGACTTTATTATTACAGTCCATGAGCTGGCTTTGTCAGTACACAAAATATTGCTCAGTGAGGCGGAAAGTGCAGAGAAAATGTACTGTTTGCTTAATTAATCTTGGTCTAATCCTCTGAACCCCAACTGATTTATTTATTTTTGGGCTTTTTTCACACTTGTTTTTTTAGTGTCTTGTTTCTTAGTGTTCTTGTCTTTGTTGTTTTTCTACGGCGCCTCGCATGGTTGCACCAGAATCTGAGAGAAACGGCATTTCAATCCCCTCTATGTCCTGTACATACGGCAGAACTGACAATAAAGTTGACTTTGATTTACTCATTTTTCAGGGCAATATCAAGTTTCATGTATTTTACAAAAACATGTACAACTTTTTTTTCCAAAATTCCTACAGCTGTTTTTTCAACACTGGATAAAAAGGACAACTCTACACAGCCTGCAGTTCAGCCCAGCTCACATGAAAAGTCAGAACTTTTGCTGTGTGACTGTTGGTCACAGTTTAGTCACAGTACCACTGAGAAGCCCAGATTTGTTTGTTTTTGACAGAATCTGGTTCAACAACATCTGGAGCAAATGATTTATTTTAAGCAAATTTTCAATGAAACATGAAGAATGAAGTATTTTAATGAAATATCACATTTCTACGCTAAGTGGTTTATATTGTTTATAAATGGGGTCATTTTGGTGATTGTTTTTTAAAGATAACATGGCTTTCAAACTTGCCAGTGTGTTTGACATTAAGAGGGTTTCATAGATCCATGAAAATGTATGACTTGTTTATAAAAATGACTCACCGGTCTGACATAGCGTCCCGTTGGACCGGGGTTCTCCCAGGGCAGGTATCCAGGGGTTCTGTGCTGCAGCCCCAGCGGTGAGGGAGGAGTCCGAACTTGTGGTGACCGGTAGCAGCTGGGTGAAATGGGACAAAGAGGAGAAAGGGGTCTGATGGGAGAAGGTCCTCTCTCGGGAGAGGGGGAGACGTGTCTGCTGGGCGAGGACAGCTCGGTCCTGGGGGAGAGGCTGTGGATGGGCGAGGACAGCTCCAGACGGGGGGAGAGGCTGCGGCTGGGGGAACAGCTCTCGCTGCTGGGTGAGAAGGCCCTCGGAGACGCCTTCCAGCCTCGCCGGGAGAACAGCGCCCTCCTGCTGCCCGGCGAGGCCGCTCGCCTGCCGGGCCAAACTCCCCGTGGGGAGGGCTCCTGACTGGGGCTGTGACCCGGGGGCTCGGGGTCGGGAGTGCCCTGCTGAGAGTGCCGACTGCTGCTGGAGCGCCCCCCTGTGGACGGGTGGGTGTCTGACGAACAGGAGGACGGCGGGTCTTCGTGGGACGCGGACTCCTCTTCCTCCTCCTCCTCCTCATCGTCGTTGTCGTCATCATCGTCGGACTCCTCCACGTCAGAAAACTGATGTTCCTCCTGCTCCTCGGAGCCGCACACGCGTTCATCACTTCCTGCTGTTTGCGCACACACAGGAAAACATCCCATAAGTGACCTTTCTATCCACGCTGCAAACTTTAAAACTGCGTCGAATATTTCACCAAACAGTCTCAAAAACATGGAACAGAACATTTTCAGTGAGAAGCACAAAGAGTTAGGACGGTACTGCATGTTTCTGACAAACCTCACCCACCACTCATCAAAAACACGTTATAAATAGATTTCGGATGAAAAGGCTGAAATTTAATTGGATATCACCATGCCTCTATTCACAAACTATCTGCACAGCCTTGTGAATGAAAAGGCGGTTTAAATGGCACGTCCTTGGCTGTTATGAGTGTGGTCTGTCAGCAAGAAAGAGGCAGTGAAAGGAGGGACAGCAGAGGAAGGTCAGAGGGGAGATCGTGAGGTGGCCAGCTTTGACTGTTTTGTAGCTTTGACTGGAGGACGTAAGCGTTCAATTGTGTATTGTTATTCGCCGGCAACACATCCGCAGGGACAAGGTAGAGTGGCCGGACTGCGGCAACGGCATCAGGAAGCAGTGGCATGCTCTGCATTCTTCATTTATTTATCTTTTACTTTCTCATATTTCTTATGCAAGGCCAGAGGGAGCAGAATAGAAGATGGTGTTGCATAAGCTGTCAGTGCTGAGAAGCTACTATTCTTCACAGGCTGAAGTTCATCCAGCTGTGCACCAATATTTCTCCACAGTGGAAAGGGAAATATGTGAGATGCATCCTCATCCCCTGAAGTACCTGTTTCCTCGCTCTCCGGCTCATCCAGTGATGACTCAGATACTCCCATCGCCTGGCATTTTTTCCCATGAGCCTTCGACTTCATGTGTTTTGTAAGGTTTCCTAGGAAAGAACAAGAAGATTGCTCTCAACTTATATGGTGCAAGGAAAATGAGGATATTTCAGCAACAGAGGTAAAATGTGATCACTGGGCAAAAAGCAGATTTTGCATCATCCGAGGTGCAGGAAGTTCAGACACTGTGTCTATGAAAAGCAAGAACTGCATCTAATTCAAATTTTGCTGCTATCACATTTGAAGCTGGTTTTTTTTGTGTGCAGCAAAACACTGCTCCCAGCGCTCCTGCCACGCTCTCTGGAAGTCTTTTAACCACTTATATGGGTCCACAGGATCCTTCACTTCAATGGTTCCGAGTCATTGTCTGTGGGCATCGTCTAAGCCAGGGGTGTTGAATCCTGGTCCTCGAGGGCCACAGTCCTGCATGTTTCAGATGTTTCCTTCTTCCAACACACCTGATTCAAATGATCAGCTCATCATCAAGAAGCCTGATAACGATCCTGATCATTTGAATCAAGTGTGTTGGAAGAGGGGAACATCTAAAACTTGCAGGATTGCGGCCCTCGAGGACCAGGATTCGACACCCGTGGTCTAAGCATTCTGGTAGCATCCTAGTTGTCAGGCATTTCCTGCCCCTGATGTCCATAAAGTTGAGGTTTAGACTACTTTATGCACATCTGTTATTTTTCTGCTCCAGAAAAACTTTCACACCAGCTACTATCACTCTAAAACGAAGACAGATTCAGCAGCTGCATGGCTTATTTCTTGCCTCAAATGTTTTCAGAAGCTCATTTTAGTGAACTGTTTTCATAACAAAAGACAAAGTTTCCAAATGAGCAGCCAGGTTGGTCCAGTTTGAAATCTGGCACACACAGCCTCCGAGTGAAGCATTCGTCCAATCAGGTGCAGCCAATATTTGTGCCAATTATCTATTGTGACGCTGCCAAGTCAGTCGCCCAACAACCATCCAACTTTAGGAAGCAGCACGATCTCTTGCGTCTAAATTCGTCCCCTGTGGACATGTACAGGTACAGATACCTCTTGTGATTTCACTTCAAACTTGTGCAGAGAGCAAACACCAGATTCTGTGTTCAACTGAATGTCATGTTGACATTCAGTTGGCAACAGTCGGGTCGACTGCTTGACTCGGAGAGCGCAGCGTCGTTCTGAGTGGAGAAGGTTCAGATCAGGAGTGTGAAGAGGAACATGTCGGCCATATTGTTGAACATTCACAGGGTTGCACACCATAAAACATTGGCTGCACCAACACAATTGTCACTTTCCACCCTCCTGCTCATCAGATTTGTCTCCCTGAAACTTCTTTCTCTACCTGAAGATGAAATTCAAGTGGAAGGGTTGACGTTGTGGAACAGATTCAATTCACAGGTGTGCTTGGGACACTTACAGATTGGTCTTCCTGGGAGCTTTTAAAAGGCGGCAGGAGCACTGGGTGCAGTTTTTCAGACACTTCTCATTGCATCTCGTATAAGGGAAAGAACCTAAAAACTATTCATGTTTGAAGCAACTTGCAGATTGTCACCTTACCTTTGGTTTTGAAGGCAAAGTTGCAGTGTTTACAAATGTATGGACGGACATCAGTGTGCGTTCTGATGTGCTTCTTCAGCATGCTTGGCTTCTTGCAGCGGATGCCACACTCTCCACAGATGTACTTTCCCCGACCGCGACCTCTCACATAAACATAGTCTTCATTGGACTTGTACCTAAAAGACAGAGATGAGAAGGAACAGAAAGATAAAAGATTAAAAGGATAAGAGACAAGATAAACCCCTAAGTGGTAGAATTTAGGGATCACAATGACTAAACACCAGCCTTCTTCACTGACAGCTACAAGTGTAATAACATATACATATAACTGATTCAACTGAACAGCAATTTTAACTAAACTTTGGGTCACTTGATGGCAACGGAACAAGCTGAAGAGACAACATCAACCTTTGCTGGTGAATGTTTGAGCAAACAAGTCGCTTATTTTCACATCCAGCAGATGTGGAGCAACATTAAGATGAACTTATAGTTGCGTTTCTGGCTATCTGTTGAATGTAAGCCCAATATTCACTCTCCTTTTAGCTTTATTCTGGTGTCTTCTTGTCTCATTGGCTCCTATATGCACCATTGTGTTCACCATCTAGTGTTCAGTTAGTCCCTGAAAACAGCTGCTGAAAACAAGGTGGAAGACTCTTTAAGTTAGCAGATCCAAAACAAACAAAAACAGTGTTCTCAAAGAGTCTAAGAGGCTTCACCGCTGTGAGTGACTCCTTTCATGCTGCAGCTATTTAAGACATTGTTCTCAGAAAAGTATATTTTAAGCTGCTTTTATAATAATAATGATGAATGTGGATGTCAGCTTGCGTGCGCCACAAATGCAGCACATGCACAAACTGCGCACAAAACACAGACAGACACAAGAAAACTGGGAAACAAGGCTTTCTTTATGGAGGCGGGTTGGGGAAGCCCCACCAAAACCCCAGCAGCACCGAGTCCCTTGGCTGTTCCCTCCACTACACCCTGGGAGCACAAAGAATACCAGCTATTCTGCTGCGACCGGGTGGCTCTGCCAACAACAGCAGCAGCTAAAGAGAGGGAAGGGAAGCCTGGCTATGGCCACCAACCGAAAATAGACACTGCATCTAAAAATCAAGCAACACATTTAGGTCCAGACTATAAAAACATTGTTTATGCGCAATCTCGATGTTTACCGAGAGGCTATTTGCGGACACAAGTGGACCACAGATGTTTTATATCTGAATGAATTGTCCTCTATGAAACACTGCTCTGCCCTCATGAAGAGATGTATAATCCATTCTGAATTGTAAATATCCAATGTGTGCAGACTGCGTTTAATTACAGTATGCGCACCACATCTACAAGAAACCCGGCTGTGAATGCTCCCCGTTGTATAACCGAGAAGCAGCAGCAGCAAAACATAACAAATTGTTGCACAACTGTAAAATAGTCTCAACAGTGACATTATGCTGCATTCATTCAGGGGCTGGTTACTGTTTAACTGGCATGTATTTGTTGCTGTTGCTAAAAATATCCACCCACACCTCAGGAAAAAAAAAAAAAAAACACAAGGCAGGAGTTGCACTTCACGCATCGAGCATTAAATCAGCGGCACGTCTCTCGGTAGATCCAGCCGACAGTCTTGTTTTGTAGCTTTACGACCGCCTTGTTACATTAGTGGAGGGAATAACTCTTGAAACCAGAGTGTGATTGATTGATGCATCCAGTGAATTTCAGCACAGTAGCTCTGAGAAACACACACTGAAGCAAGCTTTCACTCACCATCTGGCCTGAAAGGAAATCGGACTAAACTAATATTTTTGACAAATACTGTATTTGCGTTAACCCTCTAAACCCCAAGCGGTTTCTGAGCTTTGTTTTTTCTTTGCTCCTGTCACATTTTAACTCACCATGAGCTCGTTTTTCATTGCAATCTGAAGATGATAACTAAGAGGTGGTGCTCAGTGTAATAAGCTGGCAGTTGTTTTGCTCCTCAAACATGTGCTAAAAGCTTTATTTATAAGGCTACAGCTCAGGTGGCTTTGCTAGAACTGGGCTCAATTAATTTTACCTGCATCCCAGCAACTCTATAGCTCAGTAATACACTAATTAACCATCTGAACCCAAAGCAGTTTGTGGGCGTTTTTTCGCTGGTGTCAAATGTTACCAAGTCCTGTGCCTCTATGGAAACAGCACAACCGGGGCTAGACATAGACAAAAATCCAAAATGTGATTTTCAGTATAACAAATTTAGCATTTTTTTTTAATTACACAGACAAGTGCAGAATTTGTAGGGTTAGGGTTAATAAGAAGTACAGAATAAAGTGATTTTAATGAAATATCCCAATTTTAAGATGAGATAAGTTTAGGTTTTCCAACAGACCTGCGCATCACAGGTGAGTAGTTCAGGGATCGTTTGGGAAATTGAAAAGCCAATAAGTTTTCACAGATTCTGGCTCTGATAACTGGTGTCAAATGTCTAAACGATAACATGCCCTCCAAACATGCCAGTGGCTCTTGGGGTTCAGTCACAAACTGCATGCGACTCAGAAACGCCCAACCTCGTTCGCCAGTGTGGTTAAAGTGTTGTGACAAATCTGCCACTTACACCATGGAAATCAATCTGCATGTTTTTTCAAAGAATCCAGAAGGGAGACGGTTCAGCCTGTGCTCGCTAAGAAGGATTAAAGCTGATGTTCCACGGACTTTCGCCGCCACCAGGAAGGAGCAGCTATTGTAGCTTAATTGCTGAGACGTGTTATTGAGAAGAAAGGGTTTCCTTTAGCTGAGTGGTACTATTAAACTCTAGAGAGCCCCGCGCGCCTCTTTCTTGAAGGGATCTCAGAAATTGGATGAAATCTGGCAAGAAACTGGAACATAAACAAAGCCGCGAGATGCATATTCATAAAAGAGTGTTCTCTGGAATAAAATGAGTGGTGCGCAGTCGTGATTTCAAAGTCCTGACAAAAGGAGGGAGATGGGGATAATGAGTCCTAACAGAGTCAGGGAGCAAAACATTCTGCCGTGCTCAAGACCGCCGAGTAGCCGGGCTTATTTGCATGCATGGCGGAAATGCAGAAGGACATCAAGGGGTGGAAATACACAGAGAGAGGACACAGAGGAGGTTGGGAGGGAATGAAAAGAAAATAACACACAGGTAAGTAAAACTGGAAGAGCTGCCAGAGCGAAACAGGCAGCCTGAGCAAGAGGGAGAAGGGTGGCACAATGGAGACTGACAAGTGGAAGAAGGAGGAAAGCTGTGGGCTGTTTATGGATGAAAACGCGCTGGTGAATGTGTGGCTGCAAATGATAAAGACTGGTAATTAGTGCCTTATCTACTGTTAAGCAGACAACTCCTTCACACTCAATCTGTGCACACATAAGCACAAAACACAAACCTTAACGTGCAAGTGTTGACACACGCGAAAAACCATCCACAGAAATCTCTGATCTCTAAAATATTTCCCACTTTTGATCGAAAGGAACATCAGCATGTTTTGCACTACTCTTTATACTTCCATGTTCTCTTTGTGGCGTTTTCATGTCATCTATTTCTGCTACAGATCTACACAGAATCAGCTGCCGGGAAAACTTTTTTAGCTCTAAACACAGCGAAACCTGAGGAAGAAGACAGGCTGTACTGGAAAAGATCACTCAGACATTTACGGGAAGCATGAATGTGTGTATACGTACAGGTCTGAAGACAAACATGCACACAAACACAACAGTTCATGACTGTGATTGTGATTGCTTGCAGATTGTCTCACAGTGTGCCTCTGTGTTTTCTCCCTGACTTTCTTTAACTGTAAAAAGATATTAATGAGAGTCTCGCAAAGTGAAGTTGGAGGCAACCTTTTTCCCTTCACACACACACACACATGCACACACACACACACACACACACATTGCTCTCTCTCCAAATTAACACTTCTAAAACACAGACATTCATGCCAGCAGTTAGAGGAAAAGGCTTGGCTACAGGTACAAATGAAGTCCCTGCGGGCTCCACGGCCTCCCATCTGTTACTGTAATTCTCTGCATGCTCTTGTCAGCTCTCCATCGTCGCTGTGCTGCTCTCATCAGGCGTTGCTTTACGACAGTAGAGCTCACATACTAAGGCGAGTCCGTTATTCGCAAAAAACACTGAATGACACAGTTTACCGCTTACCCTCCTTCAAAGATGCGAACGCGAGAAGGCTCGGCCTGCTTGGAGGTGGACGGTCCTTCCTCGTCTCCCGGCTCTTTTCGTTCCCGGCGTTCCTGAGTTTCCTCCTTTTCGTGCTGCGGCTGATCCGTTACTTCAGTGAGGGTGCTGGGTGGGGTGGCATGTACCTACACTCAAGACACACAGAGAAAAATTCAAAACAACTTAAAATGACGCGTTTCGCTGTTAAACTTCACTGAACATGGGTGTTTGTGTTCGGGGTCGGGAGGAATTATTTAAAAAATGCATTGTGACACAATTACCTGTTTCAGTATCACAATATTAACATAATGTAACTTCATTATTTTAAATTACTTTTGGATTATCTCACTAACAAATATTCAAATAACTGAAGAAAAAAAAGTATAATCTGCTGGTTTATTTGGTAATTCTGTGAAGGTGTTGCTGACAACATTTTATAATATATTTTTTATTTACTAAAATTCATGTATAATGGTAATTTATCTAACGAGAGCTACTTAGAGCACTTTAAAATTTGTTTACATTTTTAAAAGGCTCCCTGTTGCTAAGTTTTGCTGGTTCATTGAATAAGAACAGAGATTATGTTCTACATGTAGTTAAAGGAAACATCCATATGCTCAAAAATGTCACCACTGCAGCTCCTCTGTTGTACAATGGAAAATATTTGAGCTTAGTAAAAGGATCAGACTTTTGCAGTAAAATAAAAATATCTCGACAGCAGTGATGAAGCCCAGGACTCAACCCGAAGACGACAACTTGTGTTTTAACTGCAGCTTATAAACCGTGACTCACCTGTCTGAGGTAAAGAAAAGTACACACTGTCCTGATACAGTCAAGTTCAAATTGAAGTTTAAATGCAAAATTCAGTTGAACTGCAGGCTGTGTTTGCACAGAGCAGAGATGAGGCAAGTGCAAAAAAAACCCAACAACTTTAAAATAATAAAAATCAATACATGTCTCAAAAACAATCAACAGAGGAGCAAGTCATCAGTAAGTTGGTGCAAGATCCATTTTTCTAGAGTTAATGTGCAGAGTAGTGTGTCTATTTTCTAGAGGCTGTAAAAATGCAAGTGGTGAAAGATTTATAGTGTAGATGCATAGTGCACAACAGTTCTCTCTGCTTCTGGTTGTGATGTGTTCATAGAGGTGCAGGACTTTATACTGCAGTAAAAAATAAGCTCACAGTGAGTAAGAACGTGACAGCAGTTTAAAAGAACGAGCGTATATTGTGTTTATGTTTACCTCTGACATACGTGGGGTCCTGCTAGTCGCAGGGGCCAGTTTTCCCTTTGCTGGCGACGGTGCCGTGGCCATGGTGTATGTCTCAGCGCTGTGTTTCTGTTTGGAGCACAGCAGAGACAAGGCCACCTTAGTGCTGAGGCCTGGCAAGTTGGGGTTGTGAGCACTGACGCTCCAGGTGGAATAAACCGAAGCTCGGGGGTCCCTCTGGGCAGATGGGTTGGGTTTGACGTACTGCCGGTAGCACCAGTTGACTGAGGTGGAGGTATCGAGGCTGGGGTATGAAGGTGTGCTTGGTCTCTCAATCCGTTTTTCCACAGTTGGCACCTCCTCCTTCTTTTGACTCGTCCTCTCAGTTGACTCCTTCTCCTCCTTCTGTGCGTCCCTGTTGTTTTTTCTTGGTACTTGGTCCTGCTCCTCTTCCACTTTCACAGTTGTCACTTCTACCCTGTCTGGTTGTTTCTTCTCTCCTTCTTCCAGTTTTTTCCCGGCTGCTTTGTGTTCTTCCTCCTGTCCTACCTTCAGCTGTGCATCCTCCTCCTCCTCCTCCTCCTCCTCCTCTTCCTCCTCTCCTGCCTTGTGTTGCTCACCCTCCTCTTCCTCTTTCACCCGTTTCTGGTGACGATGTGCCTCTGTGCTGAGCTCCAGACTGGCGGCAGGAGAAAGCATTCGTTTGCTTCCTCCAGCCCCCAGTGGACCATATCCCTCCCCCGAGCCTGAGGCCAGCTCTGTTGGCAGGGACAGGGGAAGAAGGCTCTTGATGTCTGGGGAGGGGACCTTCAAGTACGTCCTTTGCAGCTTGTCCTGCTCCACCTGGCCCATGATGACCATAGCTGTACAAGACGTTGGTTCCTGTGAGCGGGTGGAGGCCAGAATCTGGGACAGAGTGGTATACATGGCACTGGCATATGTAGGTATATGAGTCTGGAGGCGCACTGGCACCACAAGAGACACTACTGGTGTAAGCTGAGCCAGGCATGTGGCGATGACCGGCCGTGGGTGGTGGCAGGAGATTGTTACGAGGGATTGATCCGCAGAAGACATGGACGAGAGGGACGGTCTGCTCTCTGTGGTGCGAAGGGCAGGAATATGCGTGGTCAGTCTTGGAGGACCAGGTAAGTACAAAGCCTGACTACTTCGAGTCCTGGAAGAGAACGGCAGAGGAACGAAAGGGGGAAGCTGATGGAGTGGTATTCCCAACCGTTCTGTCATGTGGATCTGCGCCGGGTGTATCTGTATCGGTGAAGACCCTGTGTGTGAATGTAAGAAGGCTCTGTGGATGACATGGGAGGACAGTACTTCAGATATGGCTGTGGTGACGGGGAATAGCTGAGAAAGTGGCGCAAGAGGGAACACTTGCTGGCTTCTGGGCTGCAACGGGAGCACATCCTGAGAGGAAGGGAAGATTTGTGGCTGCAACAGCTGCAAGGCTTTTCCTGTGGCTTCCAGGCTGAACCGGGAGCCTACCTCAGAGGGGTAGAGAGGAGGATAGGTGGAGTGTGAAGGACCAGGCTTTGGACTCTCTGCTCTGGACTCTCTGCCCCCCACCTCCTGCTCAGGTTCCCCTAAGGTGGCATGCTTCACAAGGAGACACTTTCTCCTTTCTTTCCAGGAGGATGTGGACTGCTGGGGGGACAGGGATCCATAGTCAAAAGATTTACTTCTGTTCTCTGCGATCTGTTCTGATTGTTGTGGGCTAGCTGGGGCCTGCTCTGAGGCTGAGCGCCTCATCTCCTTGTGGCTTTGGTGCTGTTGGTGAGAAGCGGATGGCACCATCAGCATCTGGGAGCTCTGGCTACCGGAGGCCCAGATGACTGGCTCGGATCTCGCCGTGTCCTCGAATGAAACAGAAACGCTTGAGATGTTGCTTTCTTGACTTGGGCTCCGAGGCAGAGACAGAGATTCAAAGCTAGACTCCCCAGAGGACTGCGCAGCTTCTGCAAGGCGGAGTCTTTTCTTCTTTGGTGGCAGCTTCTCTGCAGGGAGCTGGGCCAGTGTCTGGCTTCGCTGAGGCCAGTGGAACTCCTCTACTCTCTCTGCCTCCTAAGACAGACACATTTTTTGATTAATTTACCATCATGCCTAAGATGAAGCAATACTGAATGATTATCTGCCCAAAAACATCCGCATTAAAGCAGCGAAAATAAAAGAACTCGAAAATAAATAAATAAAAAGTTCTGAAAACACATAGCCAAACGGTCCTTTAAATACTCATGTACCTTGGATGAGGATGCTGTCACTGGGGGTGACACAGATGGCATGTCAGCATCAGGCTCCACAGTAACAAGGATCTCTGGCACTTGGATGTTTGGCTGGCGGATGAGGCGAGATGTAGAGGGTGATGGTTTTGGCTCGGGTTGTTGTGTTTGCTGACTCTCTCTGAGGTCTGGTCCCTGACTTTCCATTGATATGCTCTCCTGCTTCTCAAAAGAGCTAGTGTGTTGGATGACAGACACACCCTTCCTGTCCTGCTGCTGCTGTTGGTTTGGCTCAGTCTGTAAAGAAACACCTAGAGACAAACAGCAAAAAAAAAAAATAATTAGTTCTTGCTTTATTATATTGGTTTAGTGCTCTAGAGTGACAACATTTAGCTGCTAATGGATTTCATTTCCTTATCTACAGTGCAGTCTGATTTTCCCCAGCAGGGCTTCCCTTTCTCTGTTCTGCTTGCTTTAACCTTCTGAACTCCAAAAGTTACGCAATTTATCAGAAAAACCGCAAAAAACAGAAAGCGTTGTCAAATTTTCAAGTTTCCGAATGTCCCAGAACTAATCTTACAAGCCGAAAAACTGTTTGCTCTAAACTATACTCTGTAGTAACAAAAAAATCTACGCTCCCAAATGGCACTGGGAAGTCTTCAGTGACTCAGCTAAACAGTCACATGACAAAAATTTAGGGAGTTTTGGGCTGAAATGCAGGCTGTGCTTACACAATGTAGAAAGGATGACAATAAAATGTAATTAGCTAAATATCAATAGAATGTAGTCACATTTTTTCCAGTATTAGTAATATCTGTGGGCACTTGGAAAAATGTTGTACATGTTGACTCCAGAGTATTCAGTTGAACACTTAAAAAAATTCAAATTTAGCTTTTTCTTCTTTTATAAGTGATTGCATTCCAACTGTCTCACACGGTACAATATATATATATAAATTTCTCTTCACATCTAGCAATGGTTGTGCTGTTTCTATAGAGGTACACAACTTTAGAAAGCAGTGAAAAATAATCCCAGTAACTTCTTAGAGTTCAGAGGGTGAAAGCCATGACTTGTTGTGTTTATGTTTTTGCAGTTATTCAGGTAACTCAGATGTTAAATGAGGATTGAAAAGTCCTAAAGAAAAGAACTGTATTGCTTACACAGGACAATATTCTAATTTTATCTACGACAGCAGGCATACACAAACAAACCTGAGAGGGCCTGGCTGTGCTCTGGTCTGCTTGGCACTGGAATGAGGCCTGCAGAGCTGCCTGACATGGCTACAGGTCCTGGGCTGGGAGGATCCTCCTCCAGACTCTCCTCTTTCCTCCTCTTCCTCACAGCCATGGCCAGCGCTCTGAACTTATAGTGCATCATCAGGGGGCGATCCTCCCTGCATGTTTTACTCGCATCTCTGCTCTCTTGTTCGTGCCCCAGACAGATGCCCCTGTGGGCCTCGTAGCCTTCACTGTATTGGAAGCGTGCCCCACATGCTCCACATTCAAACAGGCTGGGACTCTTCTGCTGTTGTTGTTGCTGTGGCTGTCTGGCTGGTTCAGTGCCTCTGGCTGAGGAGGAGGAGGAGGAGGTGGGACCGGCCTCTTCCAGCATGAGCTCAGCTCCCAGGGGAACTTCTATGGCAGGCTGGCGCCTGAGCATACGCTGGGCTTGGCCAACCCTCATCTCTGCTACCACTGCTTGCTGCTCATCAAACGACTGGCAGAGGCGGTAACCTCTGGGAGACATGGTGCCAGAGGTGAAGGGCTCTCCTTGGCTGGTAGGCGATGGCATCGAGTGGCTTCTAAGCAGAGGCACTGCTGACAGCTCCTGTGTACCTGAAGGATCTGCCTCGGGATTCTGGAGGTGCCTCAAACCACTGGGGCCTGCAACTTCTCCTTTGGGATCGAATGCGTATGGATCTTTGTGGGCAGTGAATTTGGGCGACTCCATGCTGCTCTTCCTGGACAGGGAGGAGCGTCGTGGCTTCACGCTGTCAATCTCACTCGTGTCTACTACTGCTTCATTGATGGTGATGAGCTTGGTGATGTGTTCGATGACTTGAGTTTTGGGTACAGTGAAGGGAATGCTCTTCTCCTCGGTTCCTGAGGATGAGGAATGTGAAGAATGAGGCTGCTGCTGGTGGGGACTGCGCTGCTGCCCTCCCAGTCTTCCATATTTCCCGAGAATAATTTCCGCGTAGGTTTTGGCACTGGAACTAGGGGGGCTAACTTGAGACAGGTCGGTACTGCCCGATCCAGAGAAGTAGCCGGACTCTGTGCTGCCCTTACTGCCGGGGCCGAGAGAGGAAGATGAGGTGGAGAGGGAGGATGGAGGGTCATCTGGAGAAGCCATGGGGCCACGTTTCCTCTCACTAAGTCTCAACGCCAGTCTCTGCTTGACCGCCTGGGAGTCTTCAGGCCTCTGGATCTCCTCGGAGCCTCCCAGCCGCTCCTTACCGCCTTTCCTCTGCTGACTGAGCGTCTCCTTAGAAGAGGATTTTCTGTGCTGGCCCGTCTCCTCTTCAGACTCAGTGCTTTCTCCTTCTGTGTGTTCCTCGGGGTCTTCTCCAACACCACTGCCCTCCGGACCGCTAAAACTGGGCTCATCACGACTGGACGCCAGACCTGCTTTAATGCGATGGGCGTGGGACTTGCGGTGCTTGTATAGGTTGCTCTTGGTCTTGAAAGAAAAGCCACAGGGGGCACAAGGGTAGGGTCTTTCTCCTGTATGGGAGCGTATGTGTTTCTGAAGAACGCTTGGCTTGGCACACGGACGGCCACAGAAAGTGCACACATATTTCCCTGGTTTTTGTGGTTTCTTCTCCCCCTTTTTGGGTGAGCTGACACCTTCTAATCCCTCTTGGCTGGCGTGAGACGGGACCCCCTGACCATGGTCACCCCGGGTGGAGGACGTAGACGGGAGGGATGAGGTTGATGACGAAGCTGTAGACAGGAAGCTGCCTCCTGAGGGACCTGCGGTGTCCGAATGCTGCCATGCTACCGCTTGCTGCTGCTGCAACCGAAGCAGAAGGTCAGTGCGTCTGGGCTGGCGGTTTTGCAAGCGGCCCAAGGCTCTGTGCACGGGACGAGGATTGGAAGGCTGCTGGGGCTGCTGAGGTGGACAAGACTCGAGTGAAGTTTCAGCTGTCACATGCTGCTGCTCTTGCCTTCCAGAGCGCTCCCCATCAGCTGGACGGGTGGGCTCAGCCTCCATAGAGTGTGGAGGAGGCCTCACAGACGCGTAACGAAAGGCTCCCTGAGCCTCATTGGTCTAACCACATGGCAGCAGAGAGGTCAGAGGCAGGGGAACATGGACAGGCTGAGTTGTAAATCAAAATGGAGGACCTTTTTCAGAGTGGGCCAAAAGTTATTCAAGAGGACCAAATGAGGCATCATTAAAAGGTGCCCTGGAGCTGTATGGATGCAGGTAAACATGGATCATCTCTCTGTACAAAGCAGCTCTGCTTCTGTCTAGCCTCAGCCATCCTAACAGGCCTTCCAAGGTCTTCTCTGCATCTCCTTTGTTGGTTGTCAAGAGTGTTAGCCGCTCAGCTTCTGAATGGGTCTATAAAAAAACACACAAAAAAGAAAAACAGTCACAAAAGTAGAAACATATCAATATATTTATTATATACTCTAAAAAGGCTTGTTAATGCTTTAAAAATATCCCCTGGAGTTGCTTTTTTTTCTTCTTCTTCACTTGGCAAAAAACATCAGAAATAGGAAAGCTTTGTAAATAAAAGCAACAAAACAAAGAGTGGTAATAAAGAAAGGTCCTGCTCTGCTGACTTCAGTCAAAGCCAGAGCTCATTAGAGTGTACATAGAAACGGAAAACACAGTGAAGCCCATGAAGATGACTTCTTGACAGACTAAGGGTTTGCAAAAAGCCAAAAGAGTTATATTGGCAGAGCAGAAGGCCAAAATCATTAGTGTCTTATTATAAAACTCCATATTAAAAACTGCCTCCACAAATCATAATATGACAAATCGGGCTACATTTCTTGTTTTAGTATTGAGTGAGGTCAGTGTTGTAATGAGACCATTTGCAAGGTAATTGCATCAGCGGCAAGTTATTGCTCTCATCCGTCCTCGCTTCAACTTTTATTAAGATAGCGGGCAGCGCTTCAGAAGACGGAGGCACACCTACTGTAGATCTGTTTCCAAATGTTCGCTCGAGATGTTCGACTATTGTAACATTTTCAAAAGGCGCAGTGATCTGAGGACACGCTCATCGGTTAAACCGCGAACTGTCTAAATATTCTCCTCGAGTCTTAAACAGAATTCTCTTTAAATCGCGACTCAAACCAGAACACATGGGTATCATGTCTGACCGATGACCGGCCCGCTCTGCAGGAGTCGGAGCAGTTCGGGGCCAGCCAGGCAGCATCCACGAATCAGGCACCAACAGAGAAGACCACAGTGTCAGGGCAAGGAGTCAAAACAAATGCTGGAAATATAGCCTGTGCTTATCTGATCTGGCACCGAAGCTGAAGGGGGTAAATGGAAGGGGCTGTTTTCTGGTGGGTAAGAGGACTTGACAGCAGCTGGGGTCCAGTCCCAGACTCTGTCCTGCCACCAGGGTGCAGTGTTTATGAGGGGGGCTGCTGGGACAGGGGTCCTGTGTAGGCTTTTTTTTTCTTTTTTCAAGATGGATCTATTGTAATATTTCCCACTTACACGCTACTAGAAAGCTGTTTACGGGGAGCAGCTGATCGCTACGATGAAATCTCATCTTTTATCAAGATGTATGTTCTCTAATATTTCCCACTTACTACAAATCCTGCACTCCGTCTCAACTCGAGGCATGGGATTCTTGTACCGCGGCCAATCAAAACACATTCTCGGGATGGATGGGGCCAATCATAACATTTTCGCTGAGCAGCCATGCCCAACCTCTGACAGTCCCAGCACAGACTCATCCAGAGAGTCATTCACTGTTTAAGACATTGATACCGCTCGCAGCAGCTCCCCTAACTCAGTCAGACTCTGGAGATCACTGAAGGAGGACGCCATGTGTCTTCGCTTCACAGCTGCAGACAGCACGCGGATGCTTCACACTGATACAAAGCAAATGCAGACACTGAATGAAAGGAGGTGAAAGTGTGCGGATATATATAACACTAGGTATATGTGTGTAAAGTAGGAGTGAGAAATAAGGTGAGGAGAAAAGAGTGAATCAGTGGCTGAATAAACAGACCCAGCAGCTTAAGGTGCAGCAGTGGCAATGCAGTAATGACAGTTTTTTTTATATAATGAGCTACACTTTTACTCTCTCCATATGTCTAAAAAAAAAAAAACCCCACAGCGCAGTCAGCCTTCATTAGAGCCAGTTTACAGTAGAATAAAAAGAAAGAGAAACACTCTTCCTCTTGGAAACGACTTGACAGATTCTCGGCTCCATCTCCAGGTTTCCCCACATCTGCTAAGGGCCGATTATCTGTCCAGCGTGTGTTTCCGTGAGCCGGCCGGCGCTTTGATTACGGCCGACTTTCAGCATCAACACTCAGCAATTATGCAGCAAAAACAAACCAAAACAACGCCATTAAAATTCGCTTTTCTATCTTCATTTTCCTGTCTTCCATCTTCTCAACGGTACACTGACTTTTGTATGTGGTGGCAGATTTAGCTGTTCCTGTCTTGAGATGTCGAGCCGGAGAGACTCATTACTCTCCAGAGCTACACGTAGATAAGTTAGGAGGGAATGCAGCTAAAAAAAAAAGGGTTACACATCCGATCCTGACTGAAGGGTGCTGTTAGTAGGGCTACACGGTGTATCACTTCAGCATCGATGTGCAAAATGCAACGTGAACGAAGGCAATCTAACTCATGCTACAGATTTTTTTTTTCAGTTTGATACATGAAGAAAACTCACATAGTTCTCATTTTCCACGACTAATCTGCAAGAGAAGTCTGTCTGCTAGAACATAACTTCCTCCGATTTAAGGATTCTTGGATACTTAAAAAAAAAGAAAAACTTTATTTACAAGACACAGATTGTTGACGTTAGCAAGGAACAAGAGAGAAAAACACTGAGAAGGCTGCAAGAAGGAGTCCAGCATCAGTGGTGTGGCGCTATTTCAGCTACAGAAATATGATGTTGACAAAAAACAGATTCTTGCAGTTGTTGCCACTAAACAACTAATTTGTTTGACCATTTAACTCGTCGCCACAAAGCTCTGTACGGTAAGTGTAAAGCCAGATCTGAACGCCATCCAAAGCAAAAGAATAAATAAATTGGGACGCTGTTGCCAGAGTTACACCATATGAAAGAGGTTCCAGATGGTGTTTTCAGATTTTAAAAAAAATAATTTTTCATTTTTCAATGCAGATGCACTCGTCTACAAGACACCTCAATCATCCTACGATGATAAATCCTTCAGAAATGTAAGTCATCTGGTGAAAAGTCTTCTTTCATATTGTCACGTTTATCGCAGGAAAACGGAACATAGCAAAGTCAGGTTTGTTGAATATCCTAATTGTTAGCCAAATTGAAATGACAACAAAAACAGTACATAAGAGAAAAGAGGGTCTGGATGTGCTGAAGGACGACGCTGTGCATAGAGAATAGATGCACTGAGCAGGAGGGGAAGCACAGAGAGCAAGACAAACTGTCTTCCCCAGCCTCTCCTGTAATAAATGTCTTTGTTCATGTAGTTGGTTATCAGAGTGTAAGTTTAATGATCTCAAGTATAGCTGTTGATGCAGCCCTTAAACAGGGCAATTAGAAGGTTTTAAGGTTGGGAACAGCGCTGCTTACATTATTCATGGCAGTCTAGACTGCCAGGTCTGAGTGGGGAAACACACAGTCAGAGCTTTGCCAGGAAGATGAGGGAAAGGAATGCCAGAGTCGAGCCTACATTAAGCCAAAACACACACACACACACACTCACACACACACACAGCCTACAGCACACATACAGTACGACTCTCTCCAGTACCGAAACCTACTGACACACAGCAGCCTCAGATGTGCTCTGACAGATCTGTCCGACCAATCAGCTGCAGCGTCCTGAGGTGACCCTGCAGCGCTTTGATGAGGGGTTTTCTATTCTCATCATCTTCACTCCTCAAAGATGATTTATTATCAATGAAGCCTTTTACGACGCTTTAATGTCTTAATCGAGTTACTTAGAGGTGATTGTTAAAATAAGGCCTGTGGTAAAACGCACAGATATATTTGTCTAGTTTTACTCATGAGGGTGTGGAAACTCTATTTTTAGGCTGAAGCGAGGTTACGAGGGTTTTATTTTTCTAATTAGTGGTAGTGTCAGAACCTAACCTGTAAAAATATATATTTGCTGATGTAGTTTTACAGAATTGGTGTTAAATTACAAAGAATAAATATTACATAAATCATATATAGTATATTTTATAACAGTAAATTCACAGATTAAAAAAAAAAATCTTGATTTACATGTTGATTGTAACAAAAACTGGTCAAAATTGTAAATAATGTCCACATCAAAACTCTGTAAAACTCTTTTCCAATGTCTTTGTTTCTTTAAATAAGATCTGCACGAAAAAAAAAATCTGTAATTTTACAAATACCGGTTTGTTCTTTTATAAGTTTGGCGGTAAAATTACAATTTTTTGAATGTATATAAATCAGCACAAAATTTGATTTAAAATTTATTTTAAAAACGGTGTAATCTGTTGTTTTACAGACCTGTTTTATTAACTGTTGTGTTAAAATCACAGATATGTTACATAATATATGAAAAAATATTGTTATGTGACAGGTTTTTGCTGACATTTAAAAGGAAAAGACGCGTGACAAATGTTGAATCATTTTTTAAACTGTTGCTTTACAAATTTTCATTTTGTCAAATTACAGATAAAAACCAATATAAAATATAGATATATTATAATCGTACAATTACAGAAAATAAGTATTGATTTACATGTTGACTGTAAAAAGAAAAAGTACAGTAAACTGTAAATAATGTCCACATCAAAAATATTTGTTGTTTTGCAATGTGAGACTGTAAAGTCACCATTAAACTGTGCTTAAATCAGTTAAAAAAAAAAAAAAAGTTAATTTACAGATGTTTGACTAAACGTTCAATGTTTTTTGCAGTTTTTGATCGTTACAGTATTCCGTCTTTTTTTATTGAACTTTTCTGGCTCCCTTGCTCTGCCAGATCTTTACAGAAACTTTTTTGAACAGTGTAACCCAAAGGCTAATATTTATTTGCAACACAACAAACTGTGAAGCCCGCACCATCTTTACTCTGAATCGCTGCATGATAATTCACAGAAGAGTCTCATCGCATATTCAGCGATTTGTTGTGCAAACTGCGCCTCAAATGTGATTAACGACTGGTCCGCAGAGACGAGCAGACAGGGCGAGTGAGGAATTTGTGCAGAGTGAGTGTGTGTGTGTGTGTGTGTGTGTGTGTGTGTGTGTGTGTTCACATGCAGCGGGGCTTTGTCAGCAGAAACAGGCACTGATGCAGGTACCCGAGGGAGTCCTGACACACGGAAGAGCAAACACACACACACACACACACACCTACACACCACACACACACACACACCCACGTGCTGTCACACACCGTCACACACACCGCCTCCCTCCCATCATCTCTGCTGTGTCTATTAGCACTTGTGCTTCTAAACCCTAGAAAACAAACATGTGAGCGGCTGCAGGAGCTTTTTTTTGCAGCAGTTTTTTTTTTATAGCAGTTGAAACTTCATTATCATTCCCACAGGAGAGCACCGCTGGCAGCGTTGATTTCCTCATCAATACTCCGACGTGCAGCTGGTAATGACGGATAAAAATATGGGCTAAACATTAAATTACCTCGTGCCCTGAGAACAGATAAAGCATCTTAAGTGCTTTTTAAAAAATCTGCTGTCATTCCCCCTCCCTCTCTCCAAACACCTCTCTCTCCCCATTCTCTCTCTTACTGGCGGTAGCCTGGTGTAGGTTCCCATGGAAACCAGCCTACTCTGAGCAACGGCAGATGGAGAGGGAGCTGGAGGTCTAAATTTATCTCCCAGCATCCTCTCTGACTACAGACGCACCCTGGCAGCAGGAAGTGAGGAGGGGAACTGCTTGGCCACTGCATGCATTGACAAGCTGGCGTGACCCTTGACATCTAACCTCCTCTGAAGGGAGCCGATATCACAACGGACAGTTTCCAAAAAAAATAGAAAAAATGTCAGTGATGCAACTCTGCATTTGATACAGCGCAGGAAGGCTCTGCAGCATTCCCAACGTGTAGCGTAAACGGAAAGTTGAATCACTCAAAAAACAGAGCTGTCAATCAACCCCAGGCCCCAAATCCTAGACCGCAGGAAGAGACAGTTTGGCTTTGATAGAAATTACTGGAAAAAGAAGAAGAAGAAAAAACAGACGCTGGATAGAGCAGAAAAACCTCAGAGGGAAAGACTCACGCAGGGATATCACTGCTGTCAGTCTGAGGAGGACGCCGCCTGATGAAAACACCACATACCAGAGTTCCTCGCTCACTCTCTGTGCGGGATGCGTCGGGATCGCTGCACCTCCGAGGCGGCGGGAGGAGGAGGAGGGCGTAGAGAGGGATTTCACAGGGCTTTGATAAGACTGGCAGTTCACAGCCGTCGCAGTGTTCGTTTTGATTAAACACAAGCCGGTGAACTGCAGGTCAATACCGGTCTTTAAATCAAACACGAGAGAGCCGAGCCGGGTAACGCACACCTCGACGGCGAGGAGGAAGGATCGGAGTTTTAATGACATCCCCGCTCCTCTTTGGGGTGACACAATCAACCGTGGAAGCGAGCTTGGACTAAATTGACGGGTTTTTCGGCGGTTCATTCAGAAATGATCCTGTTTTGAAGTTTTTCCGCTTTAATTAAAGAACCGAACTGGCCTCTGATTGGAGAGGAGCTTTAACTTTACACCCTCCAACCTGAAAAAGAACAAAAATCCACACTTTTTCCTTTAAACTTCTGACGAAACCACACATGCTCGAGGTGTCATGTTATGTACACGAAGTCTCGCGCCGAAAAGGAAACCGGTACACGTCTGAATAGCTCAGTGACACCCACTGACATGCTCAGCATCTCAGGTATGCAAAAGAAGAGTCTCTGACATTCACATAAACTTAAATCGTTTCGCTCAATGAGTCAAACTTTCGCAGGTACGCACACTTTAAACAAGTCATTCGCTGTAGCTGACTAGAAAAGTAATGATAAGGAGGGGAAGGAGAAGGAGGGAGGACGATTGAGGCGAGAGAGGAAGATGGATGGATTGAAATAAGACAGAAAGAGAGAGGTAGAAAGTGAGTGGGGTGCAGAGAGAGAGAAAGAGAGAGAGGGTGAGAGAAAGAGAGAGAGTGAGAGAGAGAGAGAGAGAGAGAGAGAGAGAGAGAGAGAGAGAGAGAGAGTTTAGATTACCTGACAGAGCAGTCTGGTCTTCCCCCTCAGAGACGCTTCACAGGCACTGTGAGACAAGCAGGGAGAGCCAGAGAGTGAGAGCGGATATGACTGTTTGAGTGGGTGTGTTGCCGAGATAGAGAGAGAGAGAGAGAGAGAGAGAGAGAGAGGGAGGGAAAGCGAAAGGGAGGCTGGGGGGTGAGGTAAAAAAAAAAAAGAAAAAAGAGGAGTGATGGAGAAAGAGGGAGAGAGAGGAAGACACTCAATGAATGTTTCCACTGTACGAGCGTAAAGGGAGGAGGAGGAGGAAGAATCGACTCGTATGGCATCGCTAAAAAATCTCTAAAACCGCAGTGATACTGTCAGTCTGGTGCCAACGCAGCCAAAGTGCAAAACCAGGACGGCGAAACCAAAACATCCAGGACAGGATCGGCTGTTTCTTTAAACTCGAGCACATTGAGCCGCCGTGGCACGCTGCCGACAGACAGGATTACAAACAGGTCTTACACGGGGTTTTCCCCTCTGCAACACAGAACCCTGGAGGCGATTCCTTGCAATTATCGCCTCCTTATCAGGCGAAGTGGTCGCGTTGTAGCGGGAGGTGGAAGTGGTGAGAAAGCACCTGGGTGACAAACCCCCCCTTCGCACGTCTCGTTTTATTTATTTGCGTAAATCTCCCGGCTCCGAGCGCCACTGTGCTGCATCTGTAAATGAATTCCAGAGTGGCATCCATTCAAGCAAGCCCCCGCATTACGCAGAGCTCAGGCTAGGCCTATCAGCGGTGCAACGCCGGAGAGGGAGAGAGAAACAGAAAGAGAAAGAGAGAATTGAGAATGAACGGAGGTCCTGCTGTTCCATAGAGCTTTGCCTCACTGGCAGAGCACAGGAAGCGTGAGTCACACACTCTAAAATAAACACACTCGCACAGCGACGAGCCGGCACACAGAACGAGCGGATGGCTGGGCTGCTGATCAGAAAGCAAGCAGAGGGAACATGGATCCATGCAGGCCGGGAACACGTGGAGGCCTAGTGGGACTCACAGCCAGGTGACGGGATGAGTCAAAAAAGGAGAATGCGACTCGTCTCCGCCTCTAATTGCTCCCCATATTTCTTTCCACACACCTATTGTTTGCCTTCTTCTTTTTCCAAACATCACATTTTTTGCTTCCTTCCCCGTGCGCTCTCTTCCTGCATCGTCCACATGTTCGCTATTCTTTCTCCTTCTCTTGTTTTATTTGCTCCCAGTCAATAGCAGTGTTGTTCAGGACTCGGTGATTACCCCTGGCTCAGCGTGGCCAGTGGCTGTAAGACGGCGCTGGCCTGATGCTGGGGCTACTAACGCAGGCTGCTTGGCTTCGCAGGCCATTGTGTCCGCCTGAATGTGCTCATTGTCGCCCTTTAACAGCGCGCACCTTCTATACTGTACTTCCCTGTGAGGGACCTTCACCCATCCGTCATCCCTTTGTCCTCTGTTCCTCAGACTGAGGGGTTCTGACGGGAAGGTGTGGGGCGGAGGGCAGAGGCCTCGGGGAACAAAACTGCCACTGTGGCGATGACTGACAGGAAAGTCGCTCTACGCATTAGCAGAGGCCGGGGAGGCAGCTACACAGTCTGGTTAGCGGCGAGAGAGAAGGAAAGCTAAGCCCCGCGAGGAACGACACGACAAAATGGGAAGTGCAACAGTTGCGGAGGTATGACAGTAAGCTTTCAGTGCTCTATAATAAATGGAAACCATATGCGACCCAGTGGCCCAAAGCATGTCGGACTTACAGTATGCAAAGTCATTCTCGTTTACAGTAAATGGAAACAAGGGCTCCCCTGTGGTCTGGTCGAACACCTCCTCGCTGTATATAACATAATGCAGAGACAAGCAACACCTAAAATGCAAACATCCTGCTTTATAAGAAACTTCATGCTGTTTTGGAGCAGCCACAGACTATAATTTGGAGCAAATGAGTGGTTTGCGCATTTACAGACAACCATACAGATGACATATTTTTGGACTTTTACCCCATAAACTGCAGACACAGGCAGTAAAGTGGGCAAATATGGGAGTATTCAGAGAGGGTTCTCTCTGTTCTGAGGGCAGATTATTTCAGACATGTGGTCTTCCAGTAAACTGACCCCCTCTGTCCTTATGACTGTGGTATTATGATAGAAATGAGATCCATTTAAAGAGGGAGCCTACCTCGTGTGTGGAAACTCAGGACCGCTCTACCTGTTTGTGTTTATTCGGAGAGAAACTGGGGGCAAAGGGGACACCTGCGTGAGTCCAGCGGCCGTGTCGAAGCGCTAAATCGAGCATCATCACTTCATTCTTCACCCTTCGCCTCAAAATAAAAATAACTTGCATGACACAAAGTTTGAGCTCAGCTGTTTTGTCTGATAAATGATCACGAGAAGTGAAACATCTGCCAGTGGCCTTGACTGCCGTGCACCAGTAAACAGCTTTAACGAACACATCAGTGAGCATTTTTCAGCTGAGGTCACATACAGGACTGTTAAAACGTTTGAAAAAGTTTGAAAAACTCTATGAACCCTCGGCCTAACTTCACTACCTTTACTTATAAGCGCTTACACATGCTGTATCTTGTTTTTCAGAAAAATCTCGGCTATGTGAGATAACACTTCTTATATTTGCCTTCCTGGGGAGAGAAATATTTCCTATTATAAGAATTCCAGTGTTTTCAAACGTATCGCACCATAAAATGTTGGAGGAAGACACATCTTTTCATTACTGTGTCGAGGAGAATCTGGAATGTGGCTGCATCAGAGCCATACTGGTGCAATACTCTATGACTTACAAACTGGGAGAACTACGTTCATCGTGCCCAACAGAAATAACATTAATATTCACTGATGTGCTCACACTGGTAGAGCAGGCAACTCCCAGCATGCATCATTACAAAGCTCCTTCTCTTTTGTGATATGATGATGAAACATGTATGTAGTGACGAGTTCATGAGTAATTCAAACAAGAGCAACAGGTGTGGAGATGTCAAGTCTGCAGAGGGTTCAATCTGGTGTAAATCTAAATGCATCTTTTTTTTAAATGACACTTTGTCACACTGACAAGGAACCAGCAGTGGTGCAAAGATCAAGTCGTGCGTTTTCTATTGAATTGTGCTGCACCTCACTGCAACAGAGCAATTCAATCAAGAAGGAATGTGAATTCTGACGCAAAGTGCAACCGTTGAGCTTCAGTTAAAAAACATTAATTCAATGGAGTAGCCCAGTACGTTCAATAAAATACAACATAAAACTAGAAAATTACTCCAGATATTTCACGTGTGCTGCTGAAAGACAACACGACGGCAGACATTAAAACATGTAACGTACAGACAGGTGACGGATTAAAGGAAACACGAACACAAAGTGTCTAAGTACAGTTTTGTTGCACCAGAACAGCTGCAGTGCACCTCGGCAGTCATTCTACAAATCTACTAATTCTACTGGAGGGATGAAGCATCGTTCTTCCAAAGTATATTCCCTCGTTTTGTGTTTTGATGATGACGGTGGGGAGCTGTCTGGGATTTAAATCTCACGTATGTGTTCAACTGGGTTGAGATGTGTTTAGGCCATAACATCTGGTGCACATAATTTACATCCTCATCAGATCGTCTAGTGACCCCTTGTGTCCTGTGGATGGGTGCATTGTCATCCTGGAAGACAGCATTACCATCAGGATGGAAAAGTTCTGATATAGGAGAAAGAGATTTGCAATGGGGCTGCAGGGTGGTGCAGTTGGTAGCGCTGTTGCGTCGCAGCAAGAAGGTTGCCGGTCCGCGTCCCGGTGGGGGCACCGGAATCTTTCTGCGTGGAGTTTGCATGTTCTCCCCGTGCAGCGTGGGTTCTCTCCGGGTTCTCCAGCTTCCTCCCACACAGTCCAAAAACATGTTGAGATTAATTGGTGATTCTAAATTGTCCGCAGGTGTGAATGTGAGTGTGCTTGGTTGTCTGACTCTAAGTGTAGCCCTGTGATAGACTGGTGACCTGTCCAGGGTGTCCCCTGTCTTCGCCCTAAGTCAGCTGGAGCCCTGCGACCCGAGTGAGGATTAAGCGGTGTATAGATAATGGATGGATGGATGGATGGATTTGCAATGATCCTACCAACGAATGGGACAAGTGGACCCAAACCATGACAGCATAATAGAGTCACTAGTCACCTAACTGTTGGAGTTAAAGGGTCAGGCCTCTGTATATAAGTGTATTTTATTTAGAGAAGTCACCATACTGACATGTCATCCGACGACGTCAGAAGGCAAACTTGTGTATTTGTTCCAAAGTGGGTGAAAAGGCTGCTGTGATAGAGACACCCAATAATTGTTTACAAATGGGAACGTTAGCACGCATTTTCACACAGCCTCTCCTGGAGCGCGTTCAAAGTGTGGCACGAAAAGTGCCAGAAAAGAGAGAAGTTCAGATCTTGGCTTCTTTCACACTGCCACGTAGTTGTGCGAATGTCTGTCTCAAACTTACAGAAACTGTCAGACGCGGTGCCCTCATTCTGACGTGGCGACGGTGTGGGAGGCTGCAGAGAGCATCCAACAAACAGTTCTGTTGGAGTGAACTGGCACCAGTACTCCTATAACATTGTTATACTGTGAACAGAAAGTTGAAAAGTAGATCAAATATTCCAAAATACCAAAAAACCGATGCAACAGATATCTTTGTCCTTCTTTACAAAACCTGATGCCTACATTGCAGTTTGCAACTCAACCGCCAGCAGTTCAGTGGGAGATCTGTTGTGTTGACTAATGCAGCCTCAAACAAAATGATGAAAAAAAATACTGTGTCTCATCAAAGTATAAGCTACTACAAAGGTCTGCAACAACTGGTGCCAACTTTCTGAACAAACGCTTGATATTTTGTAGCATTTTAAAAGCGTTAAGATTCAACAACCAGATCTAGTGGTGTCTCATCACAAACCCAACCCAAAGAGCTTAACGGTCCCTGCATGCAACCAACTGGCCAGCTAATGGAGTCGAGCACGCTAGTCTTTTGTTAATACCAATCAATATGTACCCTCAGCAGATGTGACATCTGATCCTGTAAAACACTGAAAGA